GGTGTGGTAAAGAGTAACAACTTAAAAATTGTATTTCATTTTTTCACGAATGCTTATTTATAACAACAGAGACGTTCATTTTCATAACTTATTATTATATTGATTTCTGGTTCAAATCTATGGTATCTATACGGTGGTACCTAGTGTAGTGTAGGTGTGGTTGTGTGAGTGTGAGTGTGCGTGTCTGCACTGGTGTACACTGGTGTATACGGTTACGAGTTGTTGAGGGCTGAGCCGTTTAATCTTTTTTCTCCTATATATATATTCTTATGTTTTATTAAAGTTACTCTGATATACTAATATATCAGTGTAACTTTAAAAATAAATCCTTTGAATTCAAATATAAACATAAAAAACATTTAGAGCAGAAAAGGCGAAGGCGCTGGGTTAAACGTAATCTCCACTAAAAACACGGAGGGGCGCTTTAACCCAAAATTTTACTATTAAGTTTCATATCTATCTTAATAGTAGATTATTTTCTTTTATCTATGGATAAACCTTAATCATTATTTTAAATCGTAGAAACTAAAAGTCTAATAATATACAGGGGGTTCCATTGAAAAAAATACAACTTTGATATTTTTTATTTATTTAATCTATCTAATAGTCCTTCAACGAACCCAAAACTACAATTTGTAAAAATCTAATCGTTTAGCTACAATACTCCGTGTCGTATGTGGTGAACAACCCTGTATAGTTCATATCAAATAAACTTTTAGTCATGTGATTAAGCTTGAACCATGAGTATTTTACGGCTATTAAGCTATCTTGTACCACTTCACACTAAGAGTGGTTCTAAAAAGAACAATGTCCGACTGCAAGGTCTGCTAGTAAACATTTTTAAGCTTAAAGTATCGCAACACTATTAATAAACTCGTAATACAAAACTAAAGTGTCAAAACGAATGACAGTGTCAGGAAAAAAAAAATAAATGTAGCAACTTGACATTTTTGACAGCAGAGCTACCACCTGAATCCCCAGCGGAAAATTTAAATTCCAGTTAGTTAGCCCGGCGCTGAATATGTCCATGGTTGGCAACAATGAATTTAAAAATCGCGCCCTCGATTACGTAACTATAAGTTTAATTGATATCAAATATAGTTTATTATCTATACTCTATACTAATATATAAAATCCTTAAGTGACTGACATACTGATTAATCACGATCCTGCTCAAACCACTCAACGTAAGAAGCTCAATTTTGGCATACAGGTTGATACTAGGGTGTAGAGGTTCGATAAGAAGGGATTTTTCGAAATTCCAGTTCTAAGAGGGTGAAACCCAAGAACAGTTAACCTAATACGACTGCTCATTCAGCCAAAAGTGTCCGCCAGGTGCATGCGAAAACTACTCGCTTTGTGACGTCATTGTAGCCCTTGTCATGGTTATTAGTCCTTATCCGGCAACCAATAATACACACACGTGCATTATTAGTTGCCGAATGCAAAACGTTCATTATTTAGTTTATTTATTTAAACACCTTATATGTATGCAGTATAGAAAATTAACTGTATAAATCGAATTAAATACTCGGATAATGCATTTTTAAGAACAGCAGTTCCCAGCATCACCTTTTGCAAGCATTCTTTTTAGAGTACTTCCATATTTTGCTTTAAAATAATTAATAAACAAAATCGTGGGCACTTAGTATGCACTTTGTCACAATCCACAACACAAAATGAACGTATTTATACACTCTATAGCTCTAAAAACTTTAAAGACACCTTTTTCACATTTAAAATTGACAAAATAATTAACTCAAAATTTCTCAGCTGTTATTTTTATAAGTTTACCATAGGCAACTAATAATACACACTATCATGACAAGGCCACGAAGGCTTTGACAAGGGCTACAATGACGTCACAACTGTCAGCTGAAGCGCGGGAAGAGGCGAACGTACGTCTTATGAGGATGAGCAATCCTATTAGTTTACCGTTCTTGGGTGAAACCAACCCTTCAAATATTACAATATTTTTTATTTAAAAAACGGTCAAGTTTCCGAAAAAACGCTTAAACACGTATATTTTATTTTGTTTTTTTACATATTTTAAGATTTTTTAAAAATGTATACAGGGTGTTTCGAAAAATCTGGTCATTGATTAATCACGATCCTGCTTAAAGCGCCTGACGTAAAAAGCTGATTTTTGGAAAACAGATTGACTTTAGGGTGTAGAGGTTCGATAAGAAGGGATTTTTTCGAAACTCGAATTCTAAGTGGTGAAATTATCCCTCAAATATTAAAATATTTTTTATTTAAAAACCGGTGAGTTTTTCGGAAAAACTCTTAAACACGTATATTTTATTTTGTTGTTTTACATACTTTAAGATTTTTTAAAAATTTATACAGGGTGTTTCATAAAATATGGCCATTGAGTAATCACGATTCTGCTCAAACTGCTTGACGTTTAAAGCTGATTTTTTGGCAGACGGATTGACTGTGGGGTGTAGAGGTTAGATAAGGAGGGGTTTCTCGAATCTCAAATTCCAAGAGGGTGAAAACGCCCCTCAAATAATATTATAATATTTGTTATTTAAAAAACGGTTAGTTTTTCGGGAAAACGCTTGGACTTCTCTTATATATTTTGAAATTTTTTAAAAAATCATACAAAGCTGCAAATTGGTGTTTATTTCCATAGAAACGCGTTCTTGACAAACTTAGAATAAAATAGCCGGCAGCTTAACAGAATTGAAATTAGTTTTTGGTATCTTAACCTAACTTATACTAATATATAAAATCCTTAAGTGACTGACATACTGATTAATCAAGATCCTGCTCAAACCACTCAACGTAAGAAGCTCAATTTTAGCATACAGGTTGATTCTAGGGTGTAGAGGTTCGATAAGAAGGGATTTTTCGAAATTCCAGTTCCAAGAGGGTGAAACCACCCCCGAAATATTAATATATTTTATATTTAAAAAACGGTGAGCTTTTCGGAAAAACTCTTAAACAGGTATATTTTATTTTGTTCTTTTACATATTTTGAGATTTTTAAAAATTTATACAGGTTGTTTCATAAAATATAACCATTGAGTAATCACGATTCACACGCTTGATGTAAAAAGCTTATTTTTGGCAAACGAATTTTTCGAAAGTCAAATTCCAACGAGATGAAACTACTTCTCAAATATTACCAAGTTATACAGGGCGAGTCTTAAATAAGTGCAAATATTTTCAGGGGTGGTATATTTCGACCCCAGGAACACGTCTATGAGTTTTTTTTCGCAACAAAAAGATGTTGAAAATCGTGCATTTTCTTTTAAATTTCTCTGTATATTTTTCGAAAACTTTTTAGAACTTCAATCACCGCAAATTTTCCCACGGCATAAATTCTTAATCTCTGATATTACCATAATTACACCTTTACTCTATGGTTACGGCACTAAGATGGATGCAAATACAGAAAAAATCCGGTGAATTTCTAAATTTTTCAAAAATTTTTTTTATTTTAGATTTTCAAACTTATTTAAAAAATGGTAAAAATAGCAAAGAGAAAATATGTTTCTTTTATCGAGATCTACCAGCCCTAAAAATATTTGCACTTATTTAAGACTCACCCTGTATAATAATATCGCCATATTGTTTTTTTTTTCATGCTGACATAAATGTGAGAAAATTTTATCCAGTTTGTATGTTAATGGAAATTCTTGCTTTGCTTTATCATCACCATTACAATGATTAATTCGACGCGAACGAAGTCGCGGGTACACCCTAGTTGTTTATAATAAAGTTTTATTTGATAGGTTTAAACTAAACAGATAAAATGTTGTGTGTGGACGGTACTTAAAATATTCTATTATTGTTCTCAATAGTTTTCTCTTGATTGACAGCTCGCCCAAAAAAATCTCCAACAGCCGGAACCTAATTAATAAAATTTATTCAATATTAACTAAGAAGCGTACAATTACGTGTTGAATAACTGTTCGTAATGAGCTAAGACTAATAATTTCTCAAGGAATATTTTTAATTGGTCTGAATTATTAGTGCGATAATAAGAAAATCTAATCGTAATGATTTCATTACACTTGTTTTTCGGTTGTAAGACGGTACAAAACACCGAGTCCAACATGCTACAATTTTAATTTAAATAAAAATTAATTGCTAAAGTAATTGTTTTGCTTTGTTTCGTAAATTGCTGTTTTTTAATAATGCTACAAAAAGTAATGTTAATTAACAAGTCTTATTTTTTATTCAAAATAATTATTATTTTTATCTGATTGTTTTAACAAATAGCACAAGATCCGGTTATAAAAAATATGTATCAGTTTTTTTTCTTGATGAAATGTATCTCAGTTGAAAGGTGGTTAACAACTTAATCATTAATTAATGTACGGCAGGGTTGCCTATCAACTTTTTTCCATAACCATCTTCAATTATGATCAGTCTAAAAAAAGTTTTAATTATCATATCGTGTAGAATATTATTCGTCGATTTTTAAATCTACGTAAAATTATTACCTACTTCCGCATGTTGATGTTTTTTTTTTCAAAATCGTTAATAATACATTCCAAAATTTTCTTCCTAGAATCGAAAAGTCGACTAATATACAGGATGGTCTAAATTGTATTCGGAAAGCTTCGGCAGCATATTCTGCAGATAAAAATAAGTAAAAAAGTTCGTATAAATGTATGTCCTAAAATGCTTAGTTTCGGAGATACAGGGTGTAAAAGTTTCATTTTTATATCTATTTTTTCCTAATAATTTCTGAATTAACGTCGACATATGGATGAAAATTGGTGTCTGGGAGTTTCTTGGCATGAGAAATTTGATTTTGATGTCGATATGACTCCTACTTGTAGAGAGCGCCACCTACATATTTTTTCTGGTTTGAAGAGTAATAACTTTTTGTCCGTACCTGTATAAAACAATTCTTTTTAAGATTAGAGTTAGAAATAGTCTATCCTGATTACGGAAAGAGATCTAAATTTTCAGTACTAAACAAATACAGTTTTTACTACCACATTATAGACTATAATCCACTTATTTTCTTATTTTTCCAGCCACAACACCCCGTTCCCAAGCCAGCGGCGTGCCCTGCGACTCTCCCCCCAACAGCATGGGTCTGCTCAACCCCCAGCCTCCCCCAGCTTCGTCACTACCGCCCCCCAACCCCCTGTTGCAGTCTCCCCAACCGGCGCCCATGCCTCAATTTATTTTGGCCTCGGGTCAATTAGTCCAAGGCATACAGGGGGCGCAATTATTAATACCCACGTCGCAAGGTAAGTCTGGCAAATAATTTATATATATACAGTATGGTGTGGGAGTTAATCGTTGACAGAATAATGTATAGAAAGAAATCAGGACAGTCTGTCTGTTGATTTGTTTTTTCAAATTTAAAACAAAGGACTTCTGTTGAGTTTTTTTCTCACACATTTAAAAAAAAAGTTTATACAGAATGCCTTAATTTTATACTTTGCCGGTAACATATGGAGGTACTAAATATCTTAACTTTTGACATACACAGTGGTAATTAGTGGTTTCAATTACACTTTATACCTTTTAGTTTACGATCATTCACAACGTCTAAAAACCACAATTAAAATTAATCAGTAGCCTAGCAACAGCTTGCGGTAGTCAGTTGTATCCATAGAGGAAGCTTAATATTTACCTTATAAAACAATAATTCACAAAAATAAACACAAAATTCCACCCTGTATCTCAAAAGTTAGGATGTTTGAGATGTTAAGATTTTTTTTAAGAATAACTCCCTGAAATAGCATGTTAAAGAGAACACCCTATACATAAACAGCAACAAAATGATATATATATCTCTCTCTGTATATCTGTTTAAATTGAATTACAGTCAACGCTAAATTAACTCTGATTTCTTTTTGATAGGGTTAGCCACCCAGACAATTTTAACTATCCCAGTAAACCATGTAAATAGTACAGATCAAATGGTTAACTTGGCTTTAAATAACGGTCAAGTAATGCAGACATCTTTAGCTAACTTGCAAGCTATGGCTCAAACCAACTTGTTGGCTAACAATGCCAATAACCAAGGTAAATATTTTATTAATATCTACATAAAATTTTGTTATTTAGTATCTACATAGGATACATTTCTAAAATTATAATTATTTTCAGTATCTTCAGCAAACGGATCAATTACTCCACAAACACTTCTTAATCCGGCTACTCTAACTCATCTCCTATCAACCCCTAATTCCGCTCAACAACTCCTCCAATCCCTCCCTCAAATGATCTCCAACACACACCCACCTCAACAGACCACGCCTCTACTAAACTCCTTAACTCAACCGCTCCTAAATCAAGCCACGCCGCTCCTAAGCCAGGCCACGCCCATGTTCTCGCAAGCCCCGCCTTTGCTGAGCCAAGCCACGCCGCCTAACTCACAGACACCTCCGTCTCGAGTTCCTATCGGTAACGGACATTACGGAGATGGGAAGTCGTTGGTGAATTATCCTGCGCAGACGGTGTCGAGGAATAGTTCGCCACCCGGGATGAATGGAGGAGGTGGTAGGAGTAGTACTGGTGGTACTTCGGATATTAGTATACCTACTAGTTTGGGAGGTGGAGGTGTGCAGAATGTTAAGAGGAGTCCGAATTCGTTGAGTCCGGGATGTAATGATAATTCGACTGCGGATCTTTTAATAGATTCACCAAGTGAGTAGAGAAAATGGTTATCATACTTTATTATGTTATGAATATCAAAACACTTGACAATGGAAAAGCCTAAGGTGCGATTCTGTAAGCTCATAACATGAAATTTCTTGCTAGTGATTCACTATTCTTAATTTTTTAGGATGTATAATATAATTTTCTTCGATTTACAATCCTGCCTTACTACAGCTCCAACGTCATAGCAGCGTAAAGTCCTAACGCTTTAACTACGCGGCCACCGAGGACTTGAAAGATTCTATGTAAAATTCTTACTTAAAAGATAATGTTTAGTGAAAGTACTTTTTTATTTATAAACATTTATTTAATTCTGTTTTTAGTATTTGTTCTTATAGGAGCAACATAGATACATTATCTGTAAAAATTTCAACTGTCTAGCTATAACGGTTCATGAGATTGTAGCGTTTTTTTATAAACATTACCACTGCGAACGGCAGCTTTTCATCGGAGAGCAGTCGTGGATAAGGTATTTCACTGGAAAGGACTAATTAATAACAATAAACAAAAAAATACAGATATTGGGCGTCAGGCATGTACAGAGAAAGAAAACACAGTTGTATATTACTTAAATGACTATATTTACTCATGATGTTCTTTATTGGTACATGACATTGTAGAGTTCTAATAAATATATAGTGGTTATATGTCAAAAAAAATGGTCTTAAGAGTTGTACTAAATATCTATAAAAGTAATACCATTACAAAACGTAATGCAATGAAACCTAAGATCTAAATTATATTTTAAATATTAAATCGACATGAATGTTCTTAACAATCTAACCACTAAACATAGTCTGAACGATATTATTTAAGAGATGTACGTTATTGTTTAAGACTGAAAATGTTTTAGATGTTAAATGTAAAACTAGAACTTAAATCTACACTTAGCTGTTCTTTATGTAACCTTGCTTCAAACAGTAGCAGCGTGAGGTGGGCTCATATCTCTGTACTGCCTATCGGCGATCCTGTTGGCCAAAACAACAAAAGGGGCCAGAATGAGGACACCATAAATCAATACAGTCGTAGCTATTGACTAGGCTTAGAAATGGGAGCGAAGCAGCATGGGGCTTACGCTGTATCCTGCCATACTGTGGCAATATGGGGACACTACCCGTACCTTGGAACACTACTAGGACCTTGGATAATGTCCGTAACTTGGACCATAACCTTGGACACAGTCCGCCCATAAGACAACGGTACAGGGGAACATTACCCGTACCTTGGATACTACTAAGACCTTGGATAATGCCCGTACCTTGTAAATAGTCCGTACCTTGGACCCTAAAAATACGAAACTCTTGTTTAAAATCAAACAAGGTCTAATAAACAAAATGAACCTACCTCGAATTACTTCCGAGGGCTCACTAAATAATAAAGAACATGTCCTTTCTTCCATGTGACATTCTGGAGGACAAAAGAAAAGGGACGCCAACGTGCCAGCAAAATACAAATACAAGTTAGGTTGGGACATCCAAAACTCTACCCTAAAAATATGCAGTAATAATAACGAATCAAAAAAGATAATATCTCATTTTTACCTGTGACTTCGAAATAGCAGCTGATTCAAATTATACAGCAAGATTTTTATAATTGCAGTTTCTCGAAGCAAGGATTTTTTTGACGGTGACAGTCGGACGGTCAAAGCCAAGTGAAGTTAAGCACGGAGAGAGTTGACAGAAGCGATGTTGACAGCGCCTCCACAGAACAGTGAAACGATAGCAGGGTTGCCGACTAGGGAACGTAAAAATTACGCCAAGCGTGCCAAATAACTATCCGGCCTGAACGAGAGGGAATCCGGTGATGATAGGCCCGGACATCATATATTATATATAAAAAAGACATGTAACGAACTAAAAACGTTACAAGATAGACCTTCGTAACAGACGGACAGACAGCAAAGGCTTAGTAATAGGGTTCCCGTTTTTACCGTTTGGGTACGGAATCCTAAAAATTGTCCTATAATTTTTATAATATTTACTTTGAATACTTAGTAAAAAAATGTGGAACAGGACATTTGGCACTTTCTTTAATAAAATTAATTTTATTTTTTAATTTCCTTAAAAAATTATAAACAATAAATTCATAATGAAATTTACCTAATTGAATAGATTTCAATTGAAATAGGATCGATTAATATTGAAATCTACTTAACAAAATAAAAGATCATAATTAAGCTCTAAATAAAAAAATGTTCGATCGAAAATAAAGGCATGTCTAAATAAATTCTTTTTTTCTTCTTGTTTGAGCTCCAGCAGTAGGCAATAACTGCCGGCCACTTAAGGTCTCAGGCTTTAATTAGTAGACAATGTGGTGGCGAGGTGGATTTTACGATAAAATGATTAATTCCATCTCGTTATAATTATTTCGGAAAACCGAAAATTGCTATTTAATTATTATTAATGCCTCTCGCCTAATTTAATTTAGATGCGATTAAATAAATTAAGAGAGAAGTTATTATTGGGTTCTGTTTTTTTTTAGATCGTTTTGTCTTTTTACATTTTTTTATTAGTTAACTCACGAGTATTTCTATAAATTAATTTGTTGTATTTTTGTCACACTGTAGATAAATTAAAAATCGCGCAATCAAAATTATTTTTCAGAAAAATCAGAAATAATTTAGGCCGTTTTGTAATTACTAGTTAAAATTTATTTTATCTCTCAACTTTTTTCCATAATATACAGGGTGAGTCTTAAATAAGTGCAAATATTTTTGGGGGTATTATATTTCGACCCCAGAAACACGATTATGGGTTGAAAATTGAAAATTTGGATTCTTTTTGAAAAAAAAATTGGATTTTTTTTTAGTTTTTAGTTAAAAACATGATTTCTTCATAATATGGCAACATGAATAGTAGATTAATTTTACAAGAAAGAAAACTCAAAAAAAGCAAAAAAATATTTTATTTGGAAATTTTCAAAGTAAAATAACTCGGTTATTTTGGACTTAGCTGAAAAAACGGTAAAGAGAAAAAAATGTTTCTTTTATCGAGATCTACCAGCCCTGAAAATATTTGAACTTATTTAATACTCACCCTGTATATGTATAGTTTATTGAAAGGTACTAACTGAAGATGTAAATAAAATAATCGCAAAACAATTTCCGATGCACGTGATCAACTTTGAGTGACAAGCGATGGCAACAGCGCTGCCAGATTGTGATGGATTTATGAGATGAATCTTAATGTAAAATTGGGAAACAATATATTTATTATACAGGGTGGCCCATCGAAAACGTTCCGCAAGGCATAACGGCCAGAGTATTTTTTTTTTCAAAAAATCCAAAAAGACGTCAATTTTGTTTGTGAGGGGGACAACTTTTGCCCCAAAAATGATTGCAAAATCTTCAACCCCCTAAGCGGGGGTGTCATCCCCCAACTTTTTTCAAATGGGGGGACAAGTGGCGCCGCAATGAAAAGAGCTTTTTATTCTCTATATTTCCCCGCTTCGTTTTTGGAAATCGGTGGTCATTGAGAAAATATGAAGGATTGAAATTTGAAAAGTTTATTTAAACATTTATTAGAGTAAATGATAATAATAAATTCCTTCTACCAATTTGCTGTTTTTTCTTATTATTTCTAGATGTTACGTATTTTTTCACTTGCCACAAGGTTGAACGATCAGTTGCGGTAGTTGCTAGATAGCTGTTCTGTGACTTGTGCGTTGAAGTTCTTCTCAATATCGTTCAACTGACCTACAATAGAATTTCCAAAAATACCAGCCCACACGTTCAATTTCTGGGGGTTTTGTGTGTGCACTTCAATTTCTGAGGGTTTTGTGTGTGCACCTCGTGAAAAACCCTGGGGTTGTCCTCAGCCCAGTACCGACAGTTGTGCCGATTAACTACACCGTTCAAAAAGAAAGTACACTCATCGGAAAAACACACATTAAATAGGAAATTATTATCATACCACGCCCTTTCTAATTTAAAGTTCAATAAAACACAAGTTTACTTAATGCAGAATGAGTTACATAGAGGCCACTAGCTTTTTAATTTTAACAGCCGGGTGGTCGGGGTTCAAAGATATTAATAAAAGGGCGCCACGAGATTATACTCTATGAACTCGGCAGTAAAGATGTAACTATTAAGTAGACTTCAACACTAACCTCGAACTGTTGAGTGCAACTATCATGAACTTCAAATATTCTATAACTATTTGTACTTAAGTGACTCTATCTTAACTATGAGACTAGACTGTAAATAATACTACTAAAAATATTTAAGCAATTTATTAAAATATTAAAAAGTTATAAAGAAAAGAAATGAATGAAATGTATCAATGAAAACTAAATCTATGACGTCATCCCCCTTAACTTAAACAAAGTATGCTCTAAGGGCGGAGTACAAATATCAAACTAAATCTAACTAATATCTAAACGTTCTTGCTCTACAGTGTAATGTCTTGACAAGAACTTGAAAACTACTCGGAAGTCCCTCCGGCTGAGCTTTGGTGTATAGCAATGGGGTAGCTACAGCAGGCTACAGCAGCTCGGTGTACTGTTACTGGAGCCCGTCAGCAAACGTACAGATACCAGGCAGGTGTAGGACTTCAACAGGTGACATAAAAAACCCTCAATGAGGGTTTATGATGTCCAACGGGTAACTCTACACACGGGCAACAGGAACGGATGGAATTCTGGACTTTTCTGTGCTGTACGGTCTGGATCGATCTTCTTGCTCTTGGAACTGTTCGGGGACTTCTTGGGCACGTGGAATCGGAATATCGGTCGGAAAATTCGGCTATTTAATCCCTTGATGGAAATTTGGTCGGTGGTCCATGTAAACTCAACAAAATCCAACCACGTCTCTGACCAAATGTGTTTCGGAAGCCTTAATCCTTCTTTACGAAGACCTGCTATTCACCAACAGGGAATGCTTCACGAAACGGCAGCCAGTTCTTCACGACGACACTCTTCAGCCGGGGAGTACACAAGAAGTGATGCAAGGATTCGATTTCCTTCACAAAATCAGATTTCAACCGGAAATCTCCCTCCAGGATATAGATAGAGAACTATATATCTTGACTAATCCAACTCACAAAAAGGCATAAATAAAAAACGATGTTCTAGATTATTTTCACAGCCATCTTCGATATCCGGTCAATGAACAAACTAAACTCACAAATTCCCACAATTAAATGAACGAATTGCACACTGCGATCCACATCAAAAATAACCAATTTAACTACGAAATTTTATCTGATAATTATAAAATTTCAATAACCAAAACAAAGGATAAATAAATCCAAAAACATCTGATTTGATCTGACAGTGACAAGTGACAAGTGATGACCAAAGATAAAAAGAGGTCGACAAAAATTCTAATGCTGGGCGGTATCCAGTGACAATATTCTGTGGCTATATAATATCGCGGTGTATAACGGGTTGCATAATCGTAAAATTTAAATAAAATAATATTTAACCATAAAATTATAGTAAACATGATGCAAAAACAATAGTTATTTGCGATAATTTATGAGAGGTCGTTGCGAGGAAATTTAACTGTTACAATCATTCGCCACTCGTTCACTCATAGTTTCAGAAAATTGCAAGCGACGATCAAAATCGTCTTTGTTGAGTTCTTGTACCAACTGAATTTTGTACGGGTGGAACTTGTGTTTTTATAATATCCTTTGGACAATTGTACGATTCACGCCGGTCTTATTGGTTAATTTTCTTGTACTCAGCGTACTATCCATGTCAACTTGGCCCAATACGAATACCTCCATAGCGTCATTTACTACAGGATTTTCCATCTGCCTCTTTTTATTCATAACGGAACCAGTTTTGCGAAATTTTGCTACTAACTCGCGAACGATTATGCCATAAATGTGTTTGTCAAGATGGCGTTCATTGAATATCTGCGCAACCCGATTGCCACATTCATTATTTTTAAAATAAAGTTCCATTATTTCCACTTTTTCTGCATGTGAGTACACCATAATTGTTAAAAGGTTTAACGATATTGAGAAGAACTGCAACGCACAAGTCACAGAACAGCTATCTAGTAACTACCGCATCCGATCGTTCAATCTTGTGGCAAGTGAAAAACGCGTAAACATCTAGAAATAATAAGAAAAAACAGCAAATTGGTCGAAGGAATTTATCCTAATCATTTACTGTGATAAATGTTTAAATAAACTTTTCAAATTTCAATCCATCATATTTTCTCAATGACTCGACCGATTTTCAAAAACGAAGCGGGAAAGTATAGAGAATAGAAAGTCCTTTTCACTGCGGTACCACTTGACCCCCCTTCCCGTTTGAAAAAAATTGGGGGATGACACCCCTGCTTAGAGGGTTGAAGATTTTGCAATAATATTTGGGACAAAAGTTGTCCCGCTCACCAATAAAATTGACATGTTTTTGAATTTTCTGAAAAAAAAACCCTGGCCGTTATGCCTTGCGGAACGTTTTCGATGGGCCACCCTGTACTATCATTTTTTAAAGACTTTTTCGTTTTATTTTTAATTTAATAATTAATATTTTAGTAATTAATTTATTTATTAACGGTAGTCACTAACACTCAAAGAAGCAATATTTAAATTTACCAATCAAATTTACTTTTCTGGCTGCAGTCAAGGGTAATAAAGAACCTTTACTGTCGCGTTCTCGTTCAAAAATCCGGAAAGCTCTTGGCTTCGACTGTTTAAATACTTCGGCATATTTTCGACGCACAAATTTCAAGAAATGCAGTAGAAAAACTCGAAAATTTAGTTTTTAAAAGAACTGTTTGTGCTTAAAATTACAATTTTTAAAAAAGACTATGAAAATCGGTAAAAAACGATAATTACTCTCAAATATTCAACAACACGATATTATACAAAATAATGACTGACATCATGATAATTGTCAGATCAACGACAACGTTGCTGATCGCGGCGCAATGTGGCCAACATGACGATAATAAAAATCGCTTTAAACTAATTTTTGCACCTTTAATCTAAATAAAACATCTGTTACAATAATTTGCTCTATGAAGTAAAATGAAGAGCTACTGGATATCTTAAATTATCACAACAAATTTTAACATTTTTGCTAAAATTTCATTTAGTCAGGTTTATGGGCTTTAGTGTCATGTGATTGGCGACGTGCATCAGAAAATATTTTGCGATCACCGTATATTTATCGCGTAAATATTCCAAATAGATAAAAATAACTTATGTTTGTTTTTGTTAGATCAACCAACCATCAACCAAACCAGCAGTAACGTAGTGGATGGCATCAACTTAGACGAGATCAAGGACTTTGCTAAAGCTTTCAAACTCAGGAGGCTGTCCTTGGGACTTACGCAAACCCAAGTGGGACAAGCCCTAAGTGTGACGGAAGGTCCTGCTTATAGTCAAAGCGCTATCTGTAGGTAGGTAGCAGAAAGATTTTAACTAAAATAGGAATATTAATAATTTTAAATAATACACACACCGGAAAAATCTAGGGATATCATTTTATTACAGTTAAAATTAAATGTTTTGAATAAACAACCACATATTTGTAGGCCTATTCTTTCTACTTCGATTGAAATGAAGTAGTCACACTAGTTATTTCTAAATTTGGGATATTTGCAGAAGTGTTTGTGCATTTTTTGTCAAATGTATGAAAAGCACCTAGCATCAATTGTTCGAATTTAACCTGTACTGACTATGTTTTTATGATAACTGGCCAGAGTTCATTCAAATAACTCTGTTTAGTATTAAACTTCATTATGGAGCGTAGACATTTTAACAGAGACGAAATGCTAAGGGCCATGGGTATGCTCGAAGCTGGAATGCGCCAAATCGACGTAGCTAGAGCATTAAATACAACGCAAAGTGTAATATCGCGATTAAGTGCACGCTATCGAGAAAGTGGTGATGTTGCTGAAAGGCACACAGGGCGACATCGCATTACTACCCCTCAGCAAGATAATTTTTTACCGACCGACTCTTACAGCACCAGAGCTTAGTTTAATTCTCCAGGAAACACATAATGTAACCGTTAGTCCTGACACTGTTCGCAATAGATTAAGAGAGGTCAACTTAAGAAGCAGACGCCCCTGGAGAGCTCAACCCTTAACGAGAGGAAATCGAGAGGTACGATATTTGTGGGCTCAAGATCATGTTCAGTGGTCGAATGAACAATGGGCCAATGTTCTCTACGCGGATGAGTCACGCTTTGGAATTCATCCGGATTCGAGAAGGCTTAGGGTATGGAGAGAACCGGGAAATCTTATTCGGTTGGATCATGTTCAGGAAGTGCATCCTTATCAAGGTGGAACAGTTATGGTCTGGGGAGGAGTTCAGTTAGGCCGAAAAACCGTTCTCGTTTTTCTTGAACCGTGTCTAACAGGAATCACATATTGTGATTTAATTCTTGAGCCTGTCGTGTTACCATATGCCAATGATTTTCGGAGAAACTTCATTCTCATGCATGACAATGCACGGCCTCATACAGCCAGAGTGGTAAGTGAGTTTATCAATGCTCATCAATTAAATCTTACCCTGGCCGGCACAATTTTCTGACCTCAACCCCATCGAGCACGTATGGGACGCGGTCCAAAGAAGAATTTTGAGAATGGGTACGCCTCGTGAAACTCGTAGAGATCTGGTTCGGGCCGTGAATGCAGCGTGGCAGGCTGTACCTCAAGAAGAGATCGACAACCTGATCAGTAGCATGGAGAGACGATGTAGGGCTGTGATGAACAGTAGAGGAGGCCATACCCTTTATTAAGTAAATATGGTTTTATCTTTTTTTTTAATTCAAAGTTTAGAATAAAAATTTTTATTTCCAATACGTCCTGTAAACTATTTGTTTATTTTAATTTTATTATATCAGAAATGCAAATAATAAAATTACTGACGATGGCGGGATAAAATTGTAATATCCCTAGACTTTTCCTGTGTGTGTATATCTTTTCATTATTTGATGTGTTAGAAAAAAAGAATCTCTTCTAACATTAGTTTTGTTTTGAAATATAGTGTCTTCTATGTTATTCTAATTTGTTTTTATACAAATGGCACTATACAATTTGCCCTACATGACTGCTTTATTAATTACATAGCTATACTCTGACTGCTATTTTTTTATTCTCAAAAATTTGATTACATTGAAAGATATTTGAGAACTATTATTACTAACTCATTTTATAATTAAAAAATAGGAATCTTAAATATCTCCGAAACAAAAAATATTATCAGAGAGGTGTCAAAACACATACATATCTGAAAACTGGAGAAGGATGACTGGTATCCTCAGTGTCTATTCAAGACCTTGATAAAAAAATGTGTGTCTAATGCCGGGTCCAGACCAAGCAGACAAAAAACAACAAGACAGAAAAAATCATGTTTTACGAAAAAATTGCGACAAATCCATTACATTTCTGCGACATTTTTGTCTCATTTTTGTTTTGTTTCAAAATTCGGAGACTTTTCAATATCCCGCCTCGAGTCAGTAAAGAACAAAGTGTCTATGTTTAGTTCGAATATTTTTTGTCGGCGTAGTGTGGATGACGTGTGCTGCCAACAGTAGGAGACCAGTGAAATCACACATGGTTAATAAAACTCATTCCCGACAACTAAAGTTTTGACTTTGTTGTACTTTTGTCCATGCGTTGTGGACAATTTATCTCAAGTTTGTCTTGCCAGAATTCCCCATTTTTTGTCGCAAGTTTGTCTTGTTTTTGTCTCAAAGTCGTGTTTACTTTTTGTCGCTTAGGTCTGGACCCGGCATAAGAGATGCTCAAAAATGATGCATACTTGAATCATCGACATCTTAAAAACTAATCCTACGATTTAAGACTTTGCAATAACTGTAAACAGAAACTTAACAAGATTTTCGAAATTATGCCATACAAGGTAGGTTTGTGTTAAGAAAATTTGTGGTTACCCTGTAAAAGTTAACAAATATATAACTTGAAATCAATCGATATATTTTGAGATCTTTGTTATAGTATTTTTGCTTTAACAGATATTTAAGGTAGCTATTTTTCGAGTTTTCATTCAAACATCAAATATTGTACTTAACTATATAATTTGTTAAGTCAGTTAGAAGTTTAATTTATTTAAATTATATTGAATAAGAGTTACTGTCTAAATAATAGAAAAATATGAGTAACTTTGAAAGATAAAAAGGGCTGTAATAAAAGTTTAAAAAAATTATAATTGGCCTAAAAACTGATACAATTCATTTCTTTCCCAGTGCCCTGGCGTCCCAAATGGTTGCAGCTGCACAACAGCAGGCAATGTATGTTTATTTTTATATTTTTACTCTTTTATTTACTTTAAATACGTAGTTTCAAGAAAAAAAAATACATAGATGTAGATAGAATACTTTTTTCTTGAAAATTCAATTCTTAACAATAGCCAATAGATTAATCAATACTATTCTGGTATGATAGATTGACAGTATGTGTGAAAATGATTGTAGTTGTCGCGCCAGGGCACTGGCATATAAGGATTTTCGATTTTATTTTTTTTAATTTTGTTCTTTCGTGGCTTATTATGCTAGTGTCCTGTGCCTGTACAATTTCACTAAATTTATAACAGGATAAACAGTGTTTAAATATTCATAAAATGTTCTTATGGAGTTTGACTTTAAGTAAGGTTAAAATTGATATTGAAGTAAATGATCTGTACCTAATTTTATTTTTAATTTCAATTATTTACGAATAATTACGTGTGTTTTCAGATTAATTAATATTTTAAAGGGTTAGTATGCATTTCTTGTAAATGAGAACTTTTAAGATCATAACTTTCGAAGATACGATATACACTTTGTTAATAAATCCATACAAATTATAATAATTATTTATATCATCTATCCTAGTGATACATGCTATTATTACCAATTTAATGATAAAAATGTATTGTTTAGATTTTTTTTAGATTAAACGATGATTTTAGATAGCGATTGTTGGATTCATTATACAGGGTGATCCGAACTGTATTCCGGAAACTTTGGCAACATATTCCGCAGATAAAAATAAACAAAAAAGTTCGTATAAATGTATGTCCTAAAATGGTTAGTTCCGGAGATACAGGGTGTAGAAGTTTCATTCTTATTTCGATTTTTTTCAAATAATTTCTGAAGTAACGTTAATATTTGGATGAAAATTGGTGCGTGGGAGTTTTTTGACATGAGAAATTTGATTTTAATGTCAATATGACTCCTACCTGTAGGGTGCGCTACCTACATATGTTTTAACTGTTTTATAGGGTAATAACTTTTCGTCCGTACCTGTATAAAACTACTGAGTAAAAAAATGTACATTTCCGTGATGTTTTACGTAAAAAATAACTCTTGGTAAAAATCGCTACGAGCAACTATTCTGAAGATATTTAGAATGGGAATTGTCAATACATGTCATTATTGCCAAAAAAATAAACATGAGTAGATATAATTATTTGACTGAAATGATGAATTTGAGAACTCTTTAATTTTTAAAACTAATTATAAATTTTTCTTCGAAAAAATGGTAATAAAACAGTTTCTGTTAAATTTTTGGCACAAAAATATTTCAAATTTATGATTTCAGTCTAATAACTATTTAGTCAACATGCTTAATTAATTTATGCCAATGATGACAGGTATTGATAATTACGATTCCAAATATCTCGAGAACCATTACTCGTAGCGATTTTTACCAAGAGAGCATTTTTAATGTATATGTATATGTTTTTTGTTTTCTATTTTATAATTTGGCTTGCCTGAAAAAAAGCCTTTTACCATTCTTTTACTATCGATAGTTGCGCCTCGGTGGTACGAAAGTACTGCCATTGCACGCAGGCCGCTATCTCCCGTTCGGGACTTAATATCTAACCGATACTTTCCGACAAGTCGGAATTAACTATCTCTGCGCTGTGGTTGTCATTTTGTGGATCTCCCAAGCTCACCTGATGATGGAGTAGGGCTCCGAAACCGGTAGTGAGAGCAAGTTGATCCGCATTATGACAAACACAGCGTAGAATTAAATTTCTATATTAGCAGTTAAGTGGCAAGAATCCTTATATAATTTTATTGTATATGTTTTTATTCAGTAGTTTTATACAGGTACGGACGAAAAGTTATTACCCTTCAAAGCAGTTAAAAATATATAGGTGGCGCCCTCTATAAGTAGGAGTCATATTGACATCAAAATTAAATTTCTCATGTCAAAAATCTCCCACCTACCAATTTTCATCCAAAGATCGACATTAGTTCAAAAAATTTTTGAGAAAAATCGAAATAAAAATGAAACTTCTACATCCTGTATCTACGAAACTAAGCATTTTAAGACATACGTTAATACGAACTTTTTTACTTATTTTTGTTTGCAGAATATGCTACCGAAGTTTCCTGAATACAGTTCGGACCACCCTGTATACGTATTTGTACAATAAATAACCAAACACAAAAATATCAGGTTTTAACACAGTTGTACATTCATGTTTTTGAGTTTAAAAGAATGAACATATTTGAAAACGTTTTTGGAGTGCATGGACAGTAAATTTGCTTAAATATAGGAAAAATTTACATATACGAAACGTATATATTTTGGATCCAAATAAATTAATATTTGCCTATTACTTTAGGTTCGAGAAATTGGACATAACGCCCAAGAGTGCGCAAAAAATCAAACCAGTATTAGAGAGATGGATGAAGGAAGCCGAGGAAAGGTACAGCTTTACAAATTAGTCCATATGGTTATATTATCTGATATTAAAAAGTTGTTTTAGGTATAAGAGCGGTCAGAATCATCTGACAGACTTTATAGGTATCGAACCTTCCAAGAAAAGAAAACGGAGAACGTCGTTTACACCGCAAGCCTTAGAATTATTGAATGCTCATTTTGAAAGAAACACTCATCCATCAGGTAAGAGAAAATAGATTTAATTTAAATTGTTTTTTTTCTCGCCTGTGCCGCAAAGACTGCGACCTGTAAAGACTATTTTGTTATACTGGCTATGGATCAAGAGAGATTGCCTTGTTCATTATTTTTTTCGTTGCCTTTGATGCCTCTGTGGCCTGGCTTCTACTCGTAGAATAATGTAATTCTGTTCAATTCTGCCAGTTCTGTCAGAGTTTCCAGACAACTCAAATGCCAAAAATTGGCAATAAAAGTTATTGTTATTAAGCGTTAAATTTCTTACTTTGGTAAGATAGTGATGGGTTGTTATTTAACTATCTGTTATTTTATAACAATTATTTATAAATAACATACCGCAACCGTTACTTCTTCTAAAAAAAACAGATATAAAATAATGATTCGTAGAGATCGGCCGCTCGTGAAACGAAAAACGAAGTCGGCGCTTCGCATCGCCACGAAATTCTATGCTGCTCGAAGCAATTCCAAAAAACAACTAGTGTGGATGGAAAACATGTTATTTCTTCAACCATCGATACAGGCGGGGAGACAACGGACAACGGAGTGGGGAATGCGCTACAGCGAACGTAGCTGCTTCGGTCGATGCGGTCGATGGTCTTATTGGGCTTGCAACAGCTTAAAAATAATAGGATATAAAAGAAGCAGGTTTTTTGAAACAGTTGCGGGCATAACGCCTGGCGGTCGAGATAACAGGAGTGGGAAAGGAACGCTGCTGCATCGGTCGATTGTCGATGGAGGCTCGCAACGGGTTGGAGAAGCAGTCATATTAGATACGTTGTTTTTCAACCTGTTACGAGCATAACAGGGGGGCGATCGAGATAATATGGCGCTGTATGTTTCAGTACTTACTTATTAAGTTTCAATATTTAGGTATTTATTTATTCTGAAAAATTTTCAGAATTATATTTTAAGTTTTTTTAAAAATGTATACAGGGTGTTTTGAAAAATCTGGTCATTGATTAATACGATCCTGCTTAAAGCCCTTGACGTAAAAAGCTGATTTTTGGAAAACGGATTGACTTTAGGGTGAAGAGGTTCGATAAGAAGGGATTTTTCGAAACTCGAATTCTAAGGGGGTGAAACTACCCTCAAATGTTAGAATATTTTTTATTTAAAAACCGGTGAGTTTTTCGAAAAAACTCTTAAAACACGTATATTTTATTATGTTGTTTTACATATTTTAAGATTTTTTAAAAAAATATACAGGGTGTTTCATAAAATATGACCATTGAGTAATCACTATTCTGCTTAAACTGCTTGACATTTAAAGCTGATTTTTGGTAAACGGATTGACTGTGGGGTTGAGGTTCGACAAGGAGGGGTTTCTCGAATCTTAAATTCCAACAGGGTGAAAACGTCCCTCAAATATTACAATATTTGTTATTTAAAAAACGGTTAGATTTTCGGGAAAACGCCTGGACACGCATAATTTATTTTGTTTTTTTTTATATATTTTGAAATTTTTTAAAAAATCATACAGGGTGTTCCAAAAAGTTGAGTAATTGATTAACCACGATTCTGCTTAAACTGCTCGACGTTTAAAGCTTATTTTTGGCAAATGTGAGAAAATTTTATCCAGTTTGTATGTTAATGGAAATTCCTGTTTTGCTTTATCATCACCATTAGAAATTATTAATTCGACGCGAACGAAGTCGCGGGTACACGCTAAGTGTAAAATTAATTCGAACTCTAGTGTGTAGTTGGTTTACTTATGAAGAATATACTACACATTTTCTTATATTGCTATTTTTTGACCGCAAATGGTAAAATCATAATTAAGAGTTTCTCGCCCGTCGAGTGAGATGCACCCTGTATACTGCTACACAATTCAGGATCTACGCGGATCGAGGGGCAGGGCGTAGGTAGATCGGAATGTATAGGTATAGACGAGTGGCGGAATTTTGGCTTTTTTTGTATCGCAATTTGTAAACAACCACCGTTTTTAGAGAGGTATTTTAGATAACAATCGATATTTAGAAATGTTTTGACACCCTGGAAATACTACCACCGAGCACGTCATTGTTGCAACTTGCAAATGCCTTAATACGCCTGGCGGTGACCGCCTCATACTCTTTCAGATATTTAACAGTAAAATATAGAAACCTGTTATTTTTAAGCTGTTATTTTAAGCTGTTTTTTATAAATAACTATAACAGTTTCAACTGTTATCTAAAAATAACAGTTTTGTCCATCACTATGGTAAGATATTGCACAGGGTGTTTCAAACTTTCCTTTGTCAAAATTACAACATATTTTCCCTATTATAATAGACCTTAATTTTGAACAGAAATAGAGGCTAAAAAATCAAATAATTTAGCTTAAAAATTTTCAAAAAACATCATAAAAATCAGCTCCATAAATCAAAACATATTGAACTTTCAAAAAATACATGAAGATATTAAGGTGTCGTTCTAACAAATTCTTCTGTTTTCAGGTACGGAGATTACAGGACTAGCTCACCAACTAGGCTATGAACGGGAAGTGATACGTATATGGTTCTGTAACAAAAGACAAGCTTTAAAAAACACTGTTAGGATGATGTCGAAAGGAATGGTTTAATGACACTAGCTGTAGAAATGTCTGTGATTCTGTATGTTCGTATATTTATATCATGCCCGGTTTTTTATTTTTGTGTGGTATGTCTCGAGAAAATTTAAACAAAATAAACTATTAGTAGGATAAGGATCTATGAATTGTACTTGTACAGATTTATTGATGATGATAAAATTTGACGATTCATGACAAAAGTAAAATACTCAATCATAATGTGTGTGTACTTGATAGTTCTTTTACACAGACTGTTGTCCTTTTTAGATAGTATTTGTATTTAACTTTTCTTTAAAATTATGCAGATTGGATAGATTATAAAAAATTAGACCTTGTTAGAAAATATCACAATATTATTTCAAATAATCAATATAACTATTGTAATAATCGATACATCACGTGGATATTTTGTCACTGAGCCAGAAATCTCTCTTGATTTAATCATACAAAAACAATTTGATTGATTTGATGATTTATATTAGGCAGTAACATTTATGCTTCATTGAGTACCTCGAAATTACTGGAGTAAATTAGTGAATTCAATAATTATACGTCAGTGTGTTAAGAATCTCTTAACTCACGCATTTTGAGTGAGCTAAGGGCATTTTCATTACCGCACTAATGTTGGGATGACTACCAAAGAGAAAAAAATATTTTGTAAAACATTTATTTTGCACTAAATTGGAAAAATATGTTATGAGTACCTTTTCATTTCCATAGTTGCGTACTTTTTTTTCGGTGCACCATTTTTCACACTTAGAGTATGTATATTCATACATCTGTTTCGATCTTGCTGGAAGCAATCCAAAAATGGCTCTGAATGCCTCTTCTTCAATGTCAGAGGGAATACTTTCCGAATCGCTCATTTTTTAAACTAGTGACATAAATTATATTTACTGTCATATTGACATTGCCATGCATGGTCACAAATTAACTACAACAGATGCGAAAAAAGCGACTGCATCGGAAACCGCTCGGCAAACCCGACACGCCTATTGAGTGGTGTAAATACACCAGTCGTTTAGTCCGGAAGCCCTTGATGTGTCGTATTCGTTTGCTGAAGCTCGCTGGTATGACATAGTGCGTGGTTATATGTTTGTTTTTAAAAACGCGTGTAGGATTTTTGTTGAACTTTCGAACTGTTATTTCTAAGTTTTGGAAATTTGTATATCTTATTTAAAATGGGATACAAATGTGTTTATTTATACTGTTCTACAAAAACCGGAGGAGGAAAATCACTTTTTAGGTTCCCAGAGGATAAGTTAAGGTAAGGAAAAGTGATTAATAAGTAGGTATTAGGTATTATTCGCCCTTTTGTAATAGGAATTATTGTAATTTAGTATTTTCAAACTGACAAAATATCTAAGTACATTCGATTTAAAGGAACAAAAATAGAAAAATTAAATGCTCTTTTGCTGGAGTTTGTATTTTAAACCCCAAAAACAGGTGTGTCTTTATTCTTGCTGGCTTGCCTGCATTGCATGCAACATTATTTTAAATAAAACTACGTTCCTCTTATTTTTAAGATCTGTTCATAAATTATGATAAAGCCACGAATCTTTATACGTGACTCATCGCTTGACGAAGTTAGAATCGACACGTACGCTCTGTTTTTTTTACATTAAGAACGTGATATTTTACGGCAGACGTAGTGTTATAATCCCGTCCTCATTTTAATTAAATTTGTAATATTAGTTTAGGAACGTCCCATCTCAAATAAAAACCTTCATACCTCTGAGGTCATAAACGACCCTACAATATAATTCTAAACAATGTAAGTTTAGGGCAGTGTAAGTAAGGCAGTAGGTTTTTAAACATCTGGTCTAATCATCGGCGTCTGCACTCTCCCCTACTCACTCTAAAATGATAGTGTGGTTTTTAATTCTGTCAACTTTGGCGTGGTTGACAAATGACAAATCGCCTTTTGTGGATTGACTCGTTTTTGTCTTTCAGCTTTTTGTGGCTTTTTCTTTAGGTAGTTTTTTATTTTTATTAGACTACATAATATGTAGCACCGAATAATAATATAGCAAGAAGAGTCACTCTAAATCCCGCCGATAACTCGAAATTATTTACCCATTTAAAAGCCTTTAATCATGAAACTGGCACTTATGGGAGTTTAAAATCGGAGTAAAATGAAAAATTTGTTACCTAGCTTTATTTACAGGCTTAATTAAAAAAATTATTTACATTAAATTGACGATGAGTTCTTGCACTGAAGAAAACATTTCTCAGAGGCTGTTTGATATAATGAAAACTATAGAATTTGACCACCCATGTGAGAAATTTCCTCTTATTTGCAATATTAAATTATTTATTAGATTGAAAATATTTTATGCATTAAAGTTTACAAATAAAGATTTATATAGTAAAAAAAAGTCGGGCTGAGTATCAACTCAGACAAAACCGCGATAGTGCCATTCACCAGAAAGCGAAGTCTGAAAAACTTGAAAAGAATCCAACTAGATGGAAAGGAAATACTGCCAATACAGGAAGTTAAATACCTGGGAATAACCCTGGACAGTAAACTCCTGTTGAACAGGCATATTAAGAACACTACCAGCAAAGCCATAAAGGCTCTCATGATATGCAGAAGACTGGCCGGAAATAGATGGGGCTGCTCCCCCTATCATTTTGCGCTGGATGTATACCATGATAGTAAGACCCATGATTACTTATGGAGCAGTTGCCTGGTACACAAAACTAGAGCAACGGACGGCAAGGCTAAACTATATGCAAAGTCCAGAGACTAGCATGCGTTTGCATCACAGGAAGCCCCATGAGAACCTGTCCAACAGCAGCAATGGAGGTCATTCTAGATCTAACACCACTGCACATTGTCATTGGTAGATATGCCAATGCAACAATGATTAGAATGGTCACTAACGGAATTAGTATTGGGAGAATTGTCAGATCAAAAGGAAATACCACTCTTGCAACTCCCAGTGGACGATATGCCAAGAACGTACAACTTTGAGAAACATCTCAATGTAGTATTGAGCAATAAAAAGGATTGGAAGAGCGAAACGCTTGCCCAGCAGTTAAAAAAGACCATACCATAACTTGGTATACTGATGCTTCCAAAACCAATACGGGGGAACAGGGATCGGAGTGTTTGGGCCGAGAGCTAAATACTCCGAACCAATAGGCACTTACCCTAGTATCCTACAGGCAGAAATCTACGCTATCGAAAGATGCGTACAACTTATCTTAGATAGGAACTATCGGAAACAAGAAATAGCCATCTTGTCTGATAGTCAAGCAGCGTTAAAAGCGATCAACTCAGTATCAATCAATTCGAAATTGGTCAAAGAATGCATAGAGAAGCTGAATAAATTAGGCAGGGAAAACAAAGTCCTCCTACTCTGGGTGCCTGCTCACTAAAGGATAGAAGGCAATGAAAAAGCAAATAATCTAGCTAGGAAAGGCGCGAGCACTCCACTAACTGGACCAGAACCGTTCTGCTTTCCAAGTGGTAACCAACTCAAGGCGGAACTCAAGAACTTGGAAGATTCCATCCGCAACCTGGAATGGAAATCTTGCAACGGTCTAAATTACACTCGAAGAAGTTTCTGAGGGCTTATGATCAATAAAAATCACAGATCTTCCTGGGTTTAAGTAAGAACAATCTTCGGATTGTCACGGGGTTTTTAACAGGACACTGTCTCCTCAATGAACACCTCAGTAGATGAAACTAAGAAGAAACGGCGAATGCAGATTCTGTGGGGAAGATGGGGAAACACCAGTACACCTCATCACTGAGTGTGTGAGACCACAAACCATTCGTGCCATGAATTTTGGTACGACTGATATTGGAGATGGAGAACTACCCTCTATAAAACCGTCCCAGATACTGGCTTTTGTCAAAGCCCTGGGACTGTATGATGAGTTATGACTCAAGAAAGGGGGACACAATGGATCTGTAAGGTCGCAGTGATTAACCCCCCTCCCACTCATTCTAAATTCTAAAAAATTCTAAATAGTCAAAAAAAGTCCGATAGAACCAATAGAAAAGTAACTATTTTGTCACATCTTTAATTAAATTTTGTTAAATAAATTAATGTTTTTATACTATAAATATCTTTTTTTCCCTAATTTCCTACGAACTGATATATGACGAGCAATCTATTAAATTACTGTGAGATTATATGCCTCGATCACATATAGGTGCAGATTATTTTAACCCAAACAAATAATAACGCAAACTATATATTGATGCGGATTGTCTATGAACTCTTTCTGAAGGTCACAGAAACGCGGAATTCGGTTTAACTCTTAACAACTTACTCTAAACCAAATTATAGAGCAATATACCCAAGAATTTTGATTTTAAGAATATTAAATAAATGCTCATGAAATTTGCCAAATTATGGATAACATTAAAATTGAGCATTTTCCATGGAATCTATCCAATCTGCATATTTTATAACAAAACTATGTATTTCGTATACGATTAAATTGTGTGTTCCTTTTAGATAAAACCAAAATGTGTTATAGATATACATATCTTTAAATGATTATACCTATCTTTAAAAAATTGTGTATACGGAAAAGTTCGTTTATACTATTGTTTTTGTGCGGCACGGAAAATTAAAAACTTTCGGAAAATTATATTTTTATACCAAAAATTTCCACTATTTAGGCCTTTACATAACAAAATTGTACAGGACGTATGATAGAAATTATATAAAAAACTGTTTGATATATATTATTTGTTTTTGATCTCTATGAAGAAATTTATATTTAAATTTTTTGTCTACCAAACTTGTGTAAATTCTGTAAGATATATAAACGTATGATAAAAGTAAGGGGTAAATTAAAAAAAAATGTTTTCTATGTAAAAAATACAGGGTGTTTTATTTAAATATTTAAAGAGTATTGTTTTAAAATAATTTACTATTTTTTTCTGAATTTTTATTAGAGTATATGTTAAACTCAGATGCAAAAAACGCAAAGGGAAAATTTTTGATCAAGTTTAAAATGTTATATTTTATTATTTTTAGCCCGATCTCCTTGATTTTTTTAGCAAACTGTATATAAATACAGGGTGTCATTGAAATTGTGTAAAAAAATCGGGGGGTGATAGTACTCCTAAAAATAGTAAAAAAAGTATATGGCGGAAAATGCATAAAATGCATTTTACACCATTTCAGTGACACCCTGTATATCAACTTTAATTCGTATACTCAGTTTATTACAAATTTTAGTATTTCGTAAGAGTTGTTTTTTATGCTATGCAATACTTTTTTTAACACCTTCTGCAATAATTTTTTGAGCAAATTTTCCTTAAAAATTATTTTTTTATCAGTCAGAACCGTGTCTTCTGAATAATTTGTTTTTTGACTCATGTTTTTTCACATGCCTTGGTTAATTTTTAAGAGCAAAATGAACTTGCCAAAAACATTTTACAATTTTTTCAATTATCGTTACTTTTTGATGTTATTCTTCATAATGATCAGGTGGCTTTTGTGATTACTGTTGTGTACGATTGATTATGGTTCTTAGTGTCCAAGATTATCCAAAAAAAGTCATTGATCTTGTTGAAGATGGCCGAAATTATGAATATTCGCTTGGTCCTTGAAGGAGAATGGGACAACATAACACAATATATTTGCAGCCTCATTAACAGCACGAA